GTAGCTGCAAAGGAGAAGACATCAGATTCTTTGGTGGGGAAAGCGTTAGGTTTGATAGTAAAATGCAATTCTTGATTTTGTAGCAAAATCCATTCTACTGTAGGCTCTACGTTGTTGATAAGTATGTCCTTCATTTTTTTTGGTTTAACAGATTTTGGGTCGATATGTTCTGGTGCAACAAATTGTAACGTAAAAATAAAATCATATTCATCATCTGAATAGGGTCTTTCGCATAAGTTAGTTCCTTCCGTTCCTTGTGTTTGTCCTGCATTTTTTGAATCGACTTTTTTGGTCTCCACAGAACCACCAAAATCTGTGATTTTAACATCTCCTCCATTTGATACCCAAATATTACTAGGCTTCAAGTTTCCATGCACAACACCATTTTCATGCATAAATTTAATACCTTCAGCAGCTTCTTTGAAAATATAAGCGAATACCTTTTATCTGTTTTCCAACTCCAAGGTCTATCAAATAAATCGCCCCCTTCTATATATTCCATAAATATCTCGTTTACAGTCATGTGATAAACGCTAACAACGTTTTTATGTGCCATTTTCTTTTGAATTGAAAATTCCCTTTTAGTATAAGATATTTTGACATCTCCAAGAATATGTTTAATAAGAAAATCTCCATTTATTACACGAGTTAGGTAATCTTTTTCAGATTGCGTCACCTTGATAGTTTTTAATTCTTCTGTACTTTTTTTACGGATAAATTCTTTGTCTTTAACCAGGCGCGCCAAATATATATTATCCAATTCGGTGTTGCTTATTTCCTTAAGAGTTCCTTTTATGAGATACTTTAGCTCCACTTCATCAGTTTGCTGTATTGTTTTGGGCGAAAAGCTAGATAGTGTATCTAATTGAGATATAGCTGCTGAAATCTTATTTAGACATACAAGTAGCACAAACAAAATATGAACAGAGAAGATCATTCGGAGTTTAAAATAAAACCGCATCATCAGATATTACATGCCGCGTGACCTTTTTATTAAATTGTAATAATTGTACACCGGTGTTTAAATTGGAACCAATCCATTAACCACACATCTAAAATTTATGAATGCCATTTGCTGTTGCAATAATTATTCTTTCATAAACTAGTTTGTGATTTAAGCCTTATAATGGGACTATAGCCATTAAGAGTCAGCTAACCAAAGTGAGGATCTAGCCTGGTACATGTAGTGTTTAACTAACTCCAAATAAAGTTTGACGAATCGGCAGCATGCAATTACTGTGGAGCGCTTGTGCTGTTTGGGTAATCAAACCAGAACAGATATTAGCCAGAATGTGTATCCTTATGGGTGTTGATAGGTGTCTCTTAAAGCCTATCATAAGGCTTAAATCACAAA